CCCGGGCGCAGGACGCGAGGCGCGAGCAGGCGCGGCGGGACCGAGGGGAGCGTGCCGGTGCGTGTGATCAGCTGCAGCGCCCGCGAGCCCCGCCTGGCCCTGCCTTCCCCCGCTGCTCTGCCAGCCTGAATTGCACCTCCGCGCCTCAGTGCAGCCCGCAGTGTCTGGCAGCTCGGGAAAAGCGAGCCCCTCCAATGAGCAGCGTCTCTAAATGTGCTCCCGAAAGCCAGCCAGCTCTCCTCCCCCCACCGCTCATCCGTCAGAAAGCCCCCAACACGCGGCAAATGCTGCTCTCTGAAAGAAGAGGAGTACAATATGTCTCTATAACGAGGGCTCTCATTTAAACGGAGGCTGGGATTTGGGAAAGCATCATAAACAGAGATCCCTCCTAGATAGACATACTCAGAGCTCAGAGCTGCACAAAGCAGAGGGGCCTCAGGATGGGAACAGAACCGGGGGAGACGCTAGTAGGACAGCTCCTCACGCTTTCTGGAAATGGCCCTATTAAAAAGGCTGAGAATATCTGGAGCTAATGTGCGGCAGTAATTGAAGGAGGAAGGCTGGCTTTTCATGGCCCCGGCCTGGCAGTTAAGTTAATGGAGGGGCAAAGTGCAGAGTGGCTAATAGAGTGCCCGTGAGTAAATGCCAGTTTATTTCCCACGTCTCATATTTGCTGTAAAAGGCAGTGGTATCTCATAGCATATTCCATTCAGCCCAGATACCCAGAATTGCTTTGGTTGGAAAGTCATCAAATCATGTTGTTCTAAGAGCAAAGGTCTGCTCGACCACAGGTACTTCCTCTACCTGTCTACCCCTAAACCTAGAGAGCGCGAGAACGTGTCAGCTCATTAGCTACACTTCGAGGACTCGTTCCTTGTCATTTGGTTAAAACATCTATCACCAGTTACAGAAGCTTCTCCTGCGGGCTCTCTGATAAGAGGTCAGCAACTCTCTGTTGTGCTTTTAGGGTTACATAAGAAGGGAAAACGACACCGCGGGAAGTAGAGCTGCTCTGGTCCCGAAGTCATAAGACCTGATGTGAATCCTGTCAGTGTCCTTTACAAGCTGTGAGACCTTGAACAATTAGTTGAATATCTTTGAGTCCCAGTTTTCTCCTCTTAAAAAATGGAAGTTTTATATTTTTCCAGCGTTGATATTTTTAAAAGGAGCAAATGTATTTTTATTATATCTGCCAAGAGCAAAGACATATGCTGGAATATAAAGTTTCAACAAAATCAAGAAGAGACTATGAATGAGATTTTGGAGCTGGTGCCGTGCTATGAACTAACATATTCTCACCTCATCCCTGACTACTCCCACCCCCAGTTTGCAGTGCCCTTGCTAGCTAGCTTGTTTCAATTTCTAGAACATATTGAGGAACAATTCAAACCCAGCATCTCCGTACTGTGTTCTTCGCCTGTAATGCTGTTTCTCTACCATCCACGTTGCTATTTCCTTCAAACACTGAGCTCTCAACCTCAGTGCATCCTCCTCCAGGAAGCCTTCCTTTGCATCCCAGGCACTCCCTATTACATCTCTTTCTTCACGGCATCTTTTTCTAGCTGCCGTTCTCTTTATTTCTCTGCTGTCTCTATTTTCCACCATTACTAATCATAGAGTGAAAGTTCTATAAGAGCAAGAACTCTGTCTCTCTTGTTTCCCACTTTGTCCTCAATACTCAAAAAAGTGCCCTTCTCATACAATCCACAGCACCTGCTGGGTGGTAGCATGTGCCAGCTAATGTCACAAGGAACTCCACATGCACTGTAGCCCTCCAGGTAAACCAGAACTAAATCATCTTTAAATCAGTTCACTTGTATGAATTAGCATCAAATTTGTAAACCTAAAAAACGTAACACTTCTGCGCTTGTTAACTTCAGAACTGATATTCAATCAAGTCTTAACCTGTTTAATTTGGTACACTATCTCCCAAACAATTTCTCCTTTCTCTTAAAAAAATACTACCATTTTTAAGTCCCTAAAATATTTCATTTTAAGCCCAAACTCAAAAAGATTTTCTTGTCTTCATTAAGTCCTTCTCGCCTTCAAACTGCCCTAAATAGTACTACTAGATATATTGCTTTGGAATCAAATAATGAGTCTAGTATTGTAAGAAAAAAACAGCAACAAAAAAACACTAAATATTTCTTGTTACTTCCATCTTCAAGATTTTAAATATTGCCCTTTAAAAACCTTTGCATGAAAAGTCTTTGCCATTTCCCAATCATCAAACTTAAGAACAAATACTTTTACACTTTAAAATACATGGTACAATCCAATATTTCCATTATGCAAATGAGAAAATTGAGACCAGCAAGAGCAAACAACTTTTTCAATGCCACAAAGCAGGGAAGTGGAAAATGAGATTTGAACCCAGAACAGTAAATCTCTAGAGCCTACATGTATCAACAGCTCTTATCAGAGGGTTAGGAGCCAAGTATTCTTTATTCATAGCTAGAATTTTTCCCTGACATGTACACCAAATTTTTAATTGATGTTGGGATCTAAAGCTGCCAAAGTATGGCCTAGTGTAGCCTTCCAAATTGTTTCCTACCTTCCTTTAATGTGGGCTCTGCTGTAGCCAACTTTCACCATTAGCAGTTCCCCAAATATGTCCTACATTAACTTTATTTGCTCACCTTATTTCTCATCACTTAGAATACCCTTAGGAAGGGCAAATCACATTCTTTAGTATGCAAGCAAAGGGAAAAAATCTTTATATTTCATTTCAATTCCCACTTTTTCTGTTAAGCTTTCTCTTATCCTCCCTGTAAAAGTAATCTAGCTTTTCTCTAGTCTCTCATTTCCATAAGTTTTTAACATGGCATATTTCACATTCTAAGTTATATTTCAGCTTAGAATTCACCAACATTCCCCCTGTGAAAGATAAAGCCACCTGCACATCCACCTGTTCACATTCTGACACCATTTAGTACTCTAGCAATACGTACTAGCACTGCACATTGTAATTACTTAGTAGAGTTTGGAGGGAACTAAAATTTTTTAAATGCCTACTTTGATATGACAAGCAACATGCTTGAAACTTTAAGGTTAATACTTGCTTTACATAGGTAGAAGGCAGGGGCATAAAGATTCCAAAAGAATATTTGCTCATTTTCCAGGTCTCCGTTCTTCTAAAGACAGAGTACTGACTGGCAAGCTAACTATTTTTCAGTGTGCTATTATGCCATAAATGTGACTCAGGTTTTGGTCTCCTCGTGACACAGAGCCCAACTCTTGACAATATTTTCAGATGAGCCCAACTCATCTTCCCTTGAAAGGACAGCTGCCTCCACGATGAGTTTCTGGCGGGCAGCCAGCCCTGTGGGGCCCAGGTCAGGGAGCGTGTGTAGGGATGGACGACAGAAAGTCATGTAATAGGTGCCACCTGATGACTGAGGGAAAACACTGCAAGCAAAATGTGTCAAAGAAGTGAGAGGCCAAGATTTTAGGCCTGGCCACAAGGCCAGAAAAACCTGGAAAATAAAACTGCACAGCACACAGTCATCTGAAGTCTCACATTTCAGGTGGGGTGGTAGATTATAAGCAATGAGGCGGAGGCACCATGGCTATATTTAACAACAAAAGCAGATAAGAGCCAACTGCATATTTATTCTGCCTGAAAAGCACTTCTAGCGAGGACTTACTTGCCATGTCCAAAATTAATAATGTCATGAATAACTATAATTTCAAAAGTACAGAATATGATTTTGCATTCTATACCGAAAAAGCATAATTTTGTACATGCGCTGAGCCTATTATGTAACTAAACAGTGTGGGGAACAGAGTACATCTAATATAAAAGAAGAAAACCTCTGCCCTTGAGAAGTCCAAATTCTAAAAATGACTTAATCGGCCAACTGTTACAAAAGTAAATCTTTGAACATCTCCATATACCGGGGTCTGTTTTCCTGTCATTCAGTCATGGCCACTGTCACACCACGTGACAGCCTGTGTGGTCAGAAATATTGATTATTCTCAGAGTAAAATGATTCTGTGTTGTATTTGGGAGATT